CATGATTCTAAGTGGCAAAAGAAACATCGGCCAAACGTATTCATGTGCATCTCGACGTCTCTCATTGTGTCAAAGCTTTCAATGATTTGGTTAGAATAGCAGGCCGAAAAACTAATTGAAATGTAGATACGTGCTAGATTAATGGAGATCTGATTTTGATGTAAAATGCTGCTAATGCGTTATTCAAGGGACCTTTCTTTTCTTGTGATACAATTCAAATGATCGGTAAAACAATGATTAGATTAAAAAGAAAAAAATCTTAGTTTTTAAATATTCTGGTTAAAAATTGCAACTTGCACTGGTTCCGCACGGAATGGTTCGGATTTGTGATTATATCGGGAGAATATTAGGGTACCATTAAAAACAATATGCCCAATTCTAGCCCGCCTTCCAACAATATTCCTAACATATATTTGTCCGCTCTGTTATAAAATTTCAAAATATGCATTACATTTTTAAAGCCTTCAATGGTCTAACCTTCATCCAGATCAAGTGGTAGTAGACTTCATAGCCTCATATTGTGGACAACAATATTAGCTCATTCAATGTGAAATAATTTACACCTGAGAAACTCTAAATTTGCCAAGAGCTAGTGTAATACCTCTACAACTCAGCCCAATGAGAAATTTGCTCGAGTCTACTCGTTTCCTCACTGCAGTTTGTTTCCTTTTGTTTTCGAAATTATTATAACACTGAAAGATACGAGGGAAAACTAGTAAAATTCGAGGCGAACTTGCTTTACCTGTTGCGGAAGAACTTAAAGTGAGGGTTGGAAGCGAAGTTGCAATGTTGACAAATCGTTATTTATAAAATAATAATTAGCCAAAAATATGTAAAATGTTATTTTGAATCGAGGCACTCGGGCAATACTGGTTTTATTTTTACACTCTCGAGTGTTAATATTTATAAATAAATCTAGGTGTATCTAGGTGTTCGTTCAGGATTAAAAAAGAAGTTAAAAGCGCTATTTCAAATTGGAAACCCGAATACCACTCGTTTGTTTATGCAAGCTTTGACATTTTAGCCTCATCAGTCTACTGAAGATTTTACTGAAATGCGTTTGTTGTTCAGCCCACTGGGAAAAGGAAGCAATTATGAAACCTTACTTTTTAAGATATTACCAATATTGGCTCACCTAGTTTCCTGGCTTGCCTCAAGCAGAAGATGGCGTTTATTCAGTTGCTTCATTAGGGCAGCTAATGTCATTCTTTCTCTTTTTATCTCATGAAAAAATTACGGGTGACAAAATCAATTGTCTAATGACCTCATTAGTGGGGCATTTTCTGCAAGATCATCAAATTACTTCAGGCTATTCTGAGGACATTATTAACCTGGTGTTATACCTTACATCCTTGCTTTTTCAATTTTTGTGGTCATCTTCTTTCTTGATTATACAACTTTATAATAATACTTCATCATTTTTCTTGCAAAAAAAAAAACCTAGAAGCTTTGCTGTCGGCAAGATGTCGTGTTCATCAGGTGCTCCTATTCAAATACATTGATAAAAAAAAGCAAAATTAATCTTCGTTTTAAAAAATGCATATTTCATGTAAGAAGCCTTAGCGTTCTCGAAATGACTCATTTTGATAAAATAAAACCACTCTAAAGCACTTTGATGTAAATTTGACATTAACACTTTCATTAAAAAAGTTGGCATTGATAACCATAACATCCACAAAGGAAATGCCGTTGAGAAGGCGAAATGCACAACATGAATTTTCATGACAAGTCAAAAAACCTCAAAGTAGCTAGCAGATAATACTGATGCATTATTCAAAACCTACAGTCGCTTTTTTTGTTTAACCTTATCGATCCAGACATAACTGTTTCATCTACTCGCCGAAGGCTGTTTCATTCTTTTTCGTGGGCGATGTTTAAATTTTATCGCAAAGCGTTTGGTGTTCACCTGTGTAGTTTTATGGTATTTGCGAATATCTGTGCCATCAAATCATCGAAAACAGATGATTCCAAAAGGTAAGATTAACGGACATTGTTACATTTTTAAAGCTGATATAAACGATAAACAAGTGTTACATTAATAAGAGGTAGGTAGAGATTCGTTCCCCTTTTAGCAGAAATATTAAGATAAGGGATAGATTTTTTGTCTTTACAACGTATAATAAATAAAAAGCTAAACTTCCTATGGTTCAAGACATACAGAAACACGGCTCTGATTTGCATTACACTGTTTATAATTTGCACTGATAAACAAACCGAGTGACAGATATTCGGCAAATTCAGTATTTTTGAGTGAGTTCTAATGGTTGGTGTGATAACAGCAAATTATTTGGCAGGCATAGATACGAAACATCATCATTGAGTCTTCTTACAAATATTTTACTACATTAGTGAATTTTACAGGAGGTCGGGCAGTGTTTCAGGAAGGTGACTTCACAAACAAATTCGATCTAGGTATTTTGAAGTTTTACCTGTGTCAATGATGATTTCTTAGACATGGTTAAGTGAAATCATTACCGTTTCCTTAGTCAAATTTATCACTGCTCCATAGTACAAACTGTGAATAAGACTTTATTTAACACTAAGGAAGCTCAAAAGATTTTACTTCTGTGCGAAGTGTTTAAGAAAGGTGAACGGTGTTAGGCCTTTTAGTGTTTTCCTGTTTGAATGGCGATTAAGCGAGCATTTTAACTAATCTACTAATTCCCAAAGGAAGACCTCATCTGATTACCGAATGCCGCAAAATTTTCACAATTATTTTAGATACTAATGTAAGGACATTATGACAAATTTCGTCATCGTGTTCACCATTAGCTGGATGACGACTGCAACATCAGCTAAACCAGAAAGAAATATTGCACAACAGAACGACAATTAATTTTCCAAAAACGTTCACTGTAGTAAACGTTGACATGTACCCTAGTTTGAAGACAATTCAAGAATGTGCGCCATTGCACCACTTTTTCTTGTTTTAGGTAAGTCGGCAGTGAACGTTTCCTTTTCAACAACCGAAATGAAAATTTTCTGTTTACCCTAAACTATAAATATTTAATACCGAAAATTATCAACGTTTAGTAATCCCCATCGTTATTCGGTTTCCGCAAGAATTTGTTGCGGTCGGGTGCTAATTACCATAATAATTACATCCGTCAAAACTTGAGCATAAACTTAAAAGACAAGTCATATTTTGAGTATCACCGCTTTTTCCCGATGAATTTCGGAGTCTTTGCTCAGATTATGACCTACATTGAAATAAAAATGATATCAGATATCCCAAGCAAACACACACTCTTGGAAAAACCAACTCATATGCTGACTGTTGAATAATATCGTAACATAATTTTTTCCGAATTCATTTCATGTTGTTTTGAAAACACTGCAGCATCATCGCTCTAATTCTGAGAACTACTTTTATTTAAGGACAAAAAAAAGCTGTAGCTCAAAACCATATTTATTGTCAGCCACTTGTAATCTAACCTGAACTTGGAGCAATTATGAAAATGAAACTTTCGGGAAATAAGCACAATTTTAATCAAACTCAGTGGAACTGAAAATAACATATCATGTTTCAATTTTTTTGACTGATCTACACACACAATGAGGAAGTCCTTTAAAATGTTTTCCACGCGGTAGTACCCATTTTTAGCTCGGCCAAATGCACTATTTTAACGAGGATCTGAAAATAACGAAAATCAAGTCCATCTCCAATTCGTTAGCACCCTGGTTGAATACCTCGCAGATGAAAAGAGTTGCGTGGTTACTAAGAACTACAAGCAGCTTTCAGTCGCTTTCTTTTACTGAAAGCAGTATCAGCCGAGGGCTAGTATCCGACAGATACTCCATATGTCAGTACATTTAAATAATCCCCAACGAAATAGCAAATCAAATGTTCAATTACGTACGGATGGTGAATAAAAATTTTTAATAAGTACCTCGCCGACTTCGCCATTAACCACACCGTTACTTTGATTACAACCTTATTATTCAGAAATTTTCTTATCCGATCACTGTGGTAGCGAATACGCATTGATCACCGCAATGGATTTTGCTCACAGCCTTTCATGCAAGGCGATTATACCAAACAGCCATATTCACCACTGCACATAGGTTTTGGTAAAATGTTTTGTTGTAATTAATGGAGTTAACCATAACTAAAAAGTGTTCAGGATGGCCTCAGAGAGCCTAAACCCTCTAATACCAAATGAAACGTATATCAGGCAATTAAAATTACACAAATGAAATGCCACCAGCATTGTTTCAAGTACGCCATCACGGCGTTTCTGTATTGAAGCTTACAAAGTATGAACTTCATGTTTCCTCTACGTTTCTAATTGTTTAAGGCAAATTATAAATTATGAACTTGACCCGATGAATTAAAAATATACATAGAAGTGAAGGTTAGCATTGATGAACATCGATTTTTCTCGAGAGCATTAATTCTGAGTTAATGTTACCTGATACAGTCCTCGCTGTGAAAGCTTTTTCAGAAGAGGATATTTATTGAATGAGTACTGCTAGCATCTTTCTTAAAAAATACGTCTTTCCTTCTACATTGTGTAACATTAACCGCGACAGGTAAAACACAAAGAAATTTGAAAAATTGAGAAAAGAACTCCTTTGATACGGTGAACAATTAAGCTCGACTGACCTTACTTCCAAGAGGAGTCATCATAAGATAACTCCCATTTTTTGGTTTTCTTAGGAGGATCGTGAAATTTGCCCAAGTCAACATTCCACACGGTGTCGATTTTTTCTCAAGAAAATCGAACAAAGGTTACATTACACGAAAATCAGAACACTCGAGTCCAAAAGGAGAGTAGAATAATGAAAAAAAAAGTTACATGCAATTGATAAATCTGCGCATGGTGATGCCTTCGAAGTGAATGCACTCTAATTTTGTTTGATAGTCTCTTTCACGCCTCAAATTCTCTGTTAACAAATCTCTCATAAGCCTTTTCCAATGATCCCTTATCGACCTTGCATAAAAGTGGCGGAGACCTAAAGGCTAAATTGTATTTTTTTTCTTAACGACTCTGTTTTTCAGAGCTGTAGATGTTGATATCACAGATGGGACTCTACCCCCTTTGACTGAACCTCCCAATGCAACAGCTATTCTGGACAAAATGTTTTTCAACTACGACAAAAGACTCAGGCCTATGTATGGAGGTAAGATTGATTCTCAGGTGATCCAGAAATAACTTCTCTCTCTTGATCAAAGCAGAAGATCACTCTACTCCAAGATGCAGCGAGAAAAAAAAATACAAGAAATACTCTTCACGACCAAATGCATGCATTTGTTCTGATCATAAAGTTCCGACTGAAAGAGGTTCGCTTCTTATACGCGCACAGCTAATATTTGTGCCATTCAAAGCTTTCCTCGGCGACTGAAGGTGAAAATATACATATCATCGAAAAGTGAGAAAGTATTGACAGTTACAGATAACTACTTTTACAGATTTATGTTAAAGATGCGAGCTCAGAGAGACTCAGAGAACCTTGTAATGCCTGTTGTTATCATCACTTCTCCCTCAAAATCAGAAATTGATTGTGGGTGGCAATATTCCATACATTCGTGAGGTCAAAAAAAAAATAAAATGTTGGCAATGATCGATGTGAAACGCTTTGAAAATCGAATGAATAGAGGGGGTAAGTTTCTGAAGAAACTGTGGTGTTGCGTAGGTAGGCAAATATGTCTAGATAATTTGGTTTTATCAACTGATTCATTCGCTCTGACGACAGGCTAACGCTCGAAATGTCAGCTTTGAAACTCTTTGCGGTGGCCGATTTACATCATCAACTCAGTTGATAGAACCAAATGTTTACTTTAAAGATCGGCTTGTCAAGTCTATGGCTTTTCTCCTCCCTCTGTTTAAAACTGCTAAAGATGACACCATTTTCACTGCTGTTTTTAGGAGATCCTGTTTACATCTACGTATCGCTGGGTTTCCTCTCCATAAGCCATGTGACGGAGGAAAATATGGTAACTAGATTGCTTTAGTTACGTAGCTACCACGGACATCTATTCAATGATTTCAGGGTATTGTGAAGACTTCATTACCTGAGCCCCGAGTAAACTACAATTAATTACGAGTTATCCTTCGCGTTATTCTTTAGTGACAGTAACCGTTAGAAGGAGATTGGTTAAAAGCAGACTGAAGCAAATCAACTTTCATTTAGTCAGTGAGGAGGCTCAAGTGAGGCCGCAAACACCTAGAGGATCTCACATCTTTTTAAACGATGCAATCACTCGTGAAAGTATACAGCAATGCTCGTTGACGAATTCTTTTTTTGACAACAGGAATTTAAGGGGGACATCTACATGCGCCAGTTCTGGAAGGATCCACGATTGGCCTACGGTGACAAGAACTGGACATTAATCCTTCAAGGAGATATTCTCAATAAGATGTGGTTTCCAGATACGTATATCGAGAACGCTAAAAAAACAACCATCCACGATGACACAAGAACAGTTATTGTGTTCGGAGACGGAAACGTGTTTTATTCCGTAAGGTACAACGTGAGTTGGAAATCGTTGAAGAGAATTGGCTTCGCGGATAATAACCTTACTTTAAATAAGGATGAAAACGGATGAATAAGATGACCAATGTATATCTGTGTTTTTGTTTCAGGGTCACAGTGAATGCTATGGGATTAATGGATTTCAAAAACTACCCAATGGATGTCCAGCTATTTTTCTTCAGAGTACTAAGTTGTAAGCAGAAACAGATATCTTTCCATCTTTTATTGCGCTTATTGCTCACCAGTGCATCAGAAAACGTCAGAAATAAATAAATGTTTGATGATACTTTCTGATGATGACCATCAGAAATGTTGACGTAATCGTATCGATGGTGATTAACATTAATGATGTTAATAGGACCGAGTGGAGTCCAGTTCGGTCTGTAATTACTCAAGTGATTACAAAATCAAACAACCGCGAAGCATGAGTCCGATTTGTCAATCACGAGTATGATTACAGTACGAATTGGACGACACTAAGTCCTGTTACCCATTAATCATAACCATTACAATTTCCAGAAAAAAGTGCAGTTCTTTGAAAAAATATATCCGGTAGAGGCATTATCTTAAATAAAACATTTCAATCTCCATTTTGAAAACCCAAAGTAAGCTTAATAACAGCAAAATGTGCCCATATTGGCAGTGAAACGTTCAATTAACAAATTAGTTTTGTATCTGATTGGCAAATCAACACAACATCAAATCCAAACAAATCAGGTGAAACTAAACAAAATTTTTGAAAGGAGATGTTATTCAGTGAATGACAGAGGCGAGCTTGGAGAAAAAGAACTCTGAGTTCTCCCGATAGGGTTCAAACCTACGACCTTCCGATTAGCACGTCAGATGCTGTACCACTGAGCTATAGGGGAATCAAGACAAGCTGGGCCGTTCAACGATGTCCATGATGACAAACTTCCTGCATGCTCCTAAGATAGGAACGTGGATATGTAAAGCTTATGTGCAATTCACTATCTTCATTTACATCATCAACAAAATGCATATGCAGTTCTGAAAACCTTTATACAAATAAGATGCATCGACCGTATTCATTAATTGATGAAACCTTTTAAATTTTCTTTTAGACGGTTTTGACATCACTCAGATACGATATAAATGGATTGATGTGTCGCTTTACAGTACAGACATGGCAGAATTCTTCGTCATGAATCAAACACTTGCTAGTGACAAGGTTAAATATATGATAGGCAAGTATTGTTTTCTTCGTCAATGGAACAGTTGATAATATCATATTTTGACGGCTGCATCGCTCTCGAAATGGGTATAGTCTGAGTCTAGCTTGATGGTTTCAGCTCAAATCGCTCATGTTGTGTTCTTGGTTAATACACTTCTTCTACCAGCACCACTCTCCATCCGGACTGATGGTGTTAAAGTTAGGTTTCCACCAGCGGATTATCTGGGAAACCATGGATTAGATAGTTACCTAAAGGGGGAACCTCTCTCCATTTAAGCTGGAAACTCCCAAAGACTGAAATGTATATTCTAATATTTCTTCCTACCATCCTTATTTAATCAAAACTTTGAACTTGATTCGATTTTGGAAGCTCAATTTGATAACTTAGAGGTTAATTGCACACATCATGCTTCTAATTAGACTGTACGAAATGCAAGTTTCCCCGTCATGCTTGCGGATGATATTATTCGGATCGAGGGTTCATTTTCTCATGAAAGAAATCTCAACTGTTCTAATTGATGGATAAATTATTCCAATAATCATTTCGTCTCCGAACTTTTGTCAAAATGATCAGACTCGTAATTAACGAATCGAACTTCCATTTCGGGGCTGTCTCAGTTTGATAATCACTCTCATTATCATAGTCACCTTCACTGCCACTATACGAAATGTTACGCAACTCTCCCCTAGAGAGTTTTCTTGAGGGAACGTTTCGTAATATTTCAAAGAGAGGCTGAGAAGGAGAGTGGTGAGACCAAAGCCTTCCATCGTTCCTACTACCGATTTTAATTCTGAACAATTTTGCAGGTTGGTTCGACTATCTTGACGTCAACTTCCACGTTCGAAGAAGGATCGGCCATTACGTCATACGCATATTCTTTCCCTGCATCCTTTGCACAGTTGTATCGTGGCTTCCATTCTGGATGGATAGGGGCGAGATCGGTGATCGTGGTGCTCTAGGCATTACAACGCTGCTGACAGAAGTCTTCCTCTTGCAATACACCAATGACTCCATGCCACGAGTCAGCTACGTAAAAGCCGCTGATCTGTTTTTGATTGTCTCTTTTGCTTTTACCTTTATGGCTTTACTGGAAAGCGTAATCGTATACAACTACAAAAAGAGATTTTTCATAGCGGAAAGCGCTCAATCAAAATCGCTGACTGGTGGAAGAACGTTTTTTCGTAAACGTGCTTTCAAAGTTGACGAGGTTAGTTAAAGTGTTTTTGTAATTTGAAATAAGTTGTAGGATTTACTGCCGACCTGTGTTCATGACACTCCTTGACTCATCATTACCATATGCCAACATGATTTACCATCTATAACTATTTATTTTATTCCAAAAGTATTTGTTTTATATATATGATATTTTTGTTCGCCGCTGTTATTCCAGTGCGATAGACTGCTATTTGAAATTCATTTATTTTCAGGTTCGTAAGGCAGACACTGTCCACATAAATGGCTCATATATTAACCCGGCAGTACATGCTGAGGTGAGAAAAACATGATTTATGATATTTGCGCCAAGGTGTCCATCTGTATGTCTGTCATTTACAGGTATTATGTTGACCAGTTGTCATTCACATAATGGTCGAACTGTTTCTCTGGTCGTCTGTTAATCCGTCTGACATATATAATGCATCTGTACACGTCCTTACACTCTAACGAGGGGGCTAACTCTCGGAATCCCATATTTAGAAACTCTTTAGTTGGCCGGTTCACATTATCAACTTAATTCATAAAGCCAAACTATCTTGTCTGTCCATCTGTTCGTTATTGTATTCTGTTTCCGCGCTTAATGCACAGGGATGTCTGATTATCTTTCGACCATTCGTCTCTTAACGACGATGGTACAATGAAATGCCGTTACACAGTTGTGCAATGAAGTATAGAAAGTCACTCTTTAGTCGTTACTTATTTTCAATTTATAGCAAGAAGACCTAGCAAGTCCATTACCCGAACTTCAAGAAACTAAAGCCCCTTGGAAAGAACCAGAGGATGAAAAGCAGAATTTTCCCAAATGTTCCGTGCTGTCAAAATCAAAAATCTACAGCTACTTCACCTGCGTCAAGAGTAATTTTACAAAGAACGATCTTAGTTTTTTCATCGAGATGTCCTCCCGTATTTTGTTTCCCCTCATGTATATCGGATTTATCGCCTTTTTCTTCGGAAAATATGGAATATAAAGTTGAGAACATAGAACCTCTGCACAAAAGTTGTAGGAGGCATATTTAATTTACATTTTTTTTTAAAAATAACTTTTTGACAATTAAGTGCGGAATAAAAATTTAAATAGTGCAAGAAACGCCAAAGGAACAAAAGAACCAAATATTGAGAATTGAAGAATTTAATTTTCTGATTTGCTTGATTGTAAAGGCATGCAAACCTAGTGACTGGAAAGCAATTTGGAGTGACTAATTCACGTTAAAGATCATCTGATTACTAGCGCGCACATCCAAATATCCTTCACAGCTAGTAGGTGTAAAACCAAGACACACTCGATATAATAGCAATAGTGAGAGTGAGAGTGTCTGGTTATAGACGAATGAAAAATTTCAGCAGAGCTGATTTTTTTTCGTCTTTGGAGTAATAAGTAACAAAATACGTGTTGATACTTAAAAAGCTCAAACTAAAATAATTTACAAGGAGTAGCGCATTGTGAACGCTCTTTTGTCTGGGTAATGACTCGAGGTCCGTACCTCAAAAGTAAGTTTTCTTCTCTCTCTTCGTAAGCAGCTTCATAAAAATATTTACAAGCTAGGAATAGTAACCATTTAGCATAAGCTAACTACTTATCTCTGGGCGCGCACCAGTCTACAAATTACGGTCTAAACCGTAAATTGTCTTATTGAACTTTGCAGGTTTCAGTTTTTGATTATGAAGGCTGCTTTGCTCTGTTATATATCTCTGGGCTGTAAACATATCCGAATGTATTCCTTATCAAATCCTATCTTCCTTCGTTGAGAACTTTCACAAAAGAAACCCCGGTTGAAATAGTAACATTCCAGTCCAATAACGACTACGAGGACTCGAATCTATACTAAGACTTCTTTTAGAGTACAAAATATAAGTGATCTAGAACATAACGAACATAGAATTAGCCGAAAGCTCGAACCTAAAGGTTTGCCGTCTGTTAGTAACATTATTGTAAATATGGAATTGTTGTAAATGTATTAATGAAAACCTGCAGATCTTTGCCTTGTACTGTTATTAAAATAGTACTTTATCTAAGATCTCAGAACTAAAGTTTGATAATATTTATGGAACATACGCATCGTTTAAGAATTCTCTAATAACTAAGGGCGCTGCTTTCCTCTACATTATTACCTGCGGCACCCAACTTTCCTTTCGAGCCCACTTCAAAATAAAAAAATGTTGAATAAAGTTTCATAAGTTTGGCTTTCGAAGGAAGTTTGCCGCAACTTAGGGCTAATTTGATTCTGTTCATCCGCTTTGTTTCCCTTTAGGCCACGAAATTAACTAAAGGTGAAAATTAAGAATCAGCCAATGCCTTCGTCCCTTTTAACATGGTGCTATGAACTCTAAACCTGTTCATTACCTGGAGTCAGAGTGACTACTCAGGGAAATATCCCTTGAAAACATCATTGTTTGCACAGTTTTAAGGTGAAAAGGTGATGAGGAGAGAGGAGAGAGGAGAAAACTAACTTTTCAACAAGGTTTCATTTAACAGTCAGTCAGTCCGATCTAGAACCAAAACTGTCAGGTAGGCAGTAATTAAAATTGATGTTAAGATCTCGGAAGTCGAAAGGTTAAAGAAGTTACCTTACACTTTGGTGGTTTTCCATTGCCATGGAAAGTTGCCTCGAAGTAGAGATTACCAGAATATTGGTTAGCTTTGCTAAACAAACCCTACAGGGGCAGCGAAAATAGGCCAGCAAGGAGTATGGTTAAGGATGCAAACGATAAATACTTATTGCAAATGACTTAAAGAAATTAGTTTGGAGCAATAGAAAAACGCCAAAGAGACAATAGTAAACAAAGAAAGAAAAGAGATGACCGAGGACTGAGAAGATTGACCCTGCTAATTGTAAACGGCTACAAAATATGTATTAGTGTGGCAAATTAGCAAAACACCAAACAGACTCTTGCAGAACCAATTGCAAGAAGAAACAAGGGTAGCTGAGAATGGATAAGATTCGTAACGATTGCAAACGACGAGCTCAGAAAATTTGGGTCGACTAATTTTTATCCGCTCTCTACAGAGATAAGTGACTTAAAGTCTGTTGTTTTGAATGAAATTAAATATCTTGAAATCGGTGCCGGTTAATTATCTGTAATTATTAAGTAGTACATGAAACAGATTGAATTGTTCTTTCAAAGCGAAAAAGCAAAGCGTTCCGCCGTTGCCGGCTTCACTACGGATATTTGGACTATTTTTAAACGTGTTCAGTGAATGGCGCACTAGGAAGCTGTGGCACGCAAAAATTTCTCGCATTTTAACGGAGAAATATCAGTATTAAAGAACGATGATATATTTTGCAGAACGTGACGTTTTAGGGACCATATCTAGAACAAAAGAAAGGCCTTTCAAGAAATTACATAATTGCTCACTGTTCAGACGTTTAATTCGAAAATTAATTGATTATATTAGGAAATCGGTAATTAACACTTTGGTAAGAGGCTTAAAAAAGATTGTCGGTTCTTGTCTTACCAATTTTTACAGAGTGAAAAGTTAAACTCGCAGAGCCTTGGCTGGTTCGTTTTCAAGGGGTCTAATATCAAGATTTTGAAGGTTGAGGATGTTTTTCAGGCTCAGAGAAGGAAGATAATGTGACACCGTGGTTAAATTTCTTAGATTGTGTGCAGATGTATGCAAATATCTTTAGGTTTTAATTTTAATTATTTCCGTGGCTCAATAGGCCTAGCAACCCGCAACTAATTGGTTTTAATATAGATTCCCTGAATTGGTAAAAAAATAAACCAGTCTCAAAACGGCTTTGAGAAAGTCACGCAAACAATGTTTAGTAGTGTGCGCGACATGTCCAACGAATGAACCGCTCCTTGCCGTAAGGAACCAGACGTCAAATAATCAAGGAATAGTACAAGGAAAGGTAGGCAAATTTTTTTCAAGATTTGACAGCTATGTAACTGAATATCGCATGAATCAGAAGCAAGATGAATAATTGTTAAGGTTAACCTCTCACCCTGTATGTATGTATATGGTTAGCTTCTATTTTCTCTGAGATTGTAGTTATTGTTTTTCCTCGACCAACATTCCGCCCGTGACTTCTGAGAACGACAACATCCCGCGATATTACCGGAAATAATTGGTTTCTCCCCTGGAAAGTCGATATAATAACAATAACTCATCGGCAGACGGTCAAAATATCAAGCCTTTAATAATAATAAAACTATGAATAGATTTTGAATGATCAGTCAGTCTGAACTCCAACCTCTTACACTGCCTTATTCTGTTGCACTGGGATGCAGAAAGCTAACTGAGACATACGATAGCTGAAAAAACCTGTTTGAAACATTTATGTTAGGAACGATGCCAAATTTCATTGCAATTTACGGATAATTGATGTAATTCTTATGTTTCTTGGCATTATTGCCATAGCAATTTAAATACTCTGCAACGTTTACAGCGCAGAAAGCGAGTTTCTACTGGATGACATCTCTTTCGTGAGCAAGTGAAATTCGCATCACGATATCATTAGTGATCTCACAGTCATCTTCGCACAGGTATCCCATTAAGGCATTTAACAGGTTACCCAACACGGTATAACTTTGCATTCTAAAACGTCGCAAGAAAATAATGAAATCATTGTTTTCTTTTGTAAATATAATTGCGCAAATGCAGTTAGGGAGGAAGGACTTCTTATTGCCTGGTACATGATTAATATGCAGGTAATCCTGGAAATAATATTTCTAAAGGGAAGCTGGACTTGAATGTATGGCGCATGATGCGCAATGTGTGCCCATACGTACGGGATTGATGCCGGAAGTTGATATCTCTTAATCAGACAATGCAACCATTGTTTTACATAAGGCAAAAGTATTTTCTCTTAACTCTGAAGAGATGCATTGACGGGAAGAAATATATGTCACTGTCAACCCCTTTGAAAGAAAAACAATGTCCGTCGTGAAGTTTGTGTGCATGCTTGCGTGAGTGGGGATAAAGGAATGGTGGAGACAGTGATAGTCATCTGACACTTTCAAGGATCATGTGATTAAGTTTGAGCAAGGCGTGGATTGAATTCCTCAGGCTTTGTTGGCCTGTTAAGTGTTAGAAAAATGTAGAAATATATCGTATCATTTAATGTTGATCCAATTCATGAAAAGACATTACAACATTTACGCCCCAAGCTGGACGAAATCTTATAAGTTCTTTCGATTGAAAAAACTTTATTTTCTAACACAAAAATATATTTTTTTGGAGTAATAAGGGAATCTGAAGGTCATCGTGATCGTTAGTTTGAATTGAATTTAATCTTTCCATTCTTTACGACTCTGGTTACCTCTTGCTTCATGACTGCTTGTCGTATCTCTTTCTCATTTTTTGATATTTAACAGTGTCCTTCATGGGGTAGTATATCGTCGCAAAAAAACCAACAACAACTACAACAACACACGTACAAACACGGACTCTTTAATTTTTGCTGGAAATGAAAATCTACATGACGTGATTCAAAAGCAGCAGAATACGCTTAGCGTAAAGTGATTGTATAATATAGACGTGCCGTTATTCTAAAATCCATCGAAAATTTTCTAGACCTACTATCTAAATTGACCCTTTCGAAATAGTACACCGGCTTGCTGAATTCTGTGAGGACTTTCTATTTGTTAATCTGACCTTGGACAGAATATATAATATAAGTTTGGCGGGAGGTAAATCCTCTCTTAACCTGTCCAAAGAATCTTAAATCATGTGCTATCTTAAATTACAAGTATCATCAATTTTAATAAAATTAAGAAACGTTTGAAATTGTTACGAGATCATCTGCACTTACTAAACTGCTTGAATTAGTCCACGTTTTCGCTTGGGATCTATAAGTTCGTCTTAAGAATCTTAAATCATGTGCTATCATAAATTATAAGTATTATCGATTATCACAAAATTAAGAAACGTTTGGAATTCTTACGAGATCATCGGTACTTACTAAACTGATTGAAATAGTCCACGTTTTCGCTTGGGATCTATATGCTTACCATTTTAAAATCC